TTGCCAGTTTACCCGTGGTTCGTACCTTCTGAGCCACGGTATTCCAAGGATGACATCAAATTTGTCATCCAAATCCAGTACGATAAAGTCATCATCGTACTGCTTTCGTTCTAGCGTGTAGTGGATTCCTACTACACGTTTGTTCACTGTTACGGATGCGCCTGTAGCAAGGCGCACCGTCATCCTCGTTGGAGGTGACTCTCACTTAACATAGTTAAGCCTACTATTCTCTAGCGATTGGCGTCGACTTAAAATGTTCGACGCCCCACAGTCAACTAGGGCACGAAGTGAAATTCTACTTGTCACTTCGATCTTCAAAGTGATGAGGGACACCTCATCACACTAGGGGGAGTGACACACAGAGACTGTGTGTTGGGAGCAATCTTCGTCAAGAGTCCTGTAACTTCTCTTGACGTTACCGGGTCAGCAGGGTGATCCGTCTCAACTGACCCTGACCGTTTTTTGGCGGTCCAACTTACTGTCGCGACTTAGCGACTTGGTCGGACCCGCACCTTCGAACTTTTCTTGGCCAACGGTGGTCATCGTGTCCTGTCTTTGGACGTGATGCGGTGCTTGGGACACTACACTCATGAGCGTAGTGTCCAATATTCTGACAGCGATGGAATCTTGCCGTTCGCTTGTGACTTGGAGAGCGAGAGTTCTCGCTTTCGATGTCACAGAGTTCCATTGGCTAGGGACCTCCTGTTTCTTGTCGTATCGTCGGACAAATGTTTGACGAGTTAGCCTGAGACTGTCTCAGGCTGAAGTCTTCTTGTTCCGCATACGCTATTGCCTTTGACAGCGTATGAAAGTCCTCTTGGATCATGTAGGTCTTCACCGGTCCATCTACAAGGCCGTAGATGAACACGTTCATGAGCGTGTGCTCATCAACAGGGTTTTCCGTGACGCTACTCGCAAGGTAGCGTAGGTGTTGTGCGTAAGCGTGCACGTCACGCTAACCTTTCTTTGGCCTCAAGAGTGCAGAGCGTGCTCTGTACTCGTCTCTCGGCGGCTCAAAAGTCTCTTTGAGCCAAGACTTCAAGATCTCCAGTGACTCAAACACGTTTGGGTCGTGAAGCTTGAGCCTTAAGGCCCATGTCTTTGGTCTTTGCTCGTTCTGTCAAATTTGACAGGGCGAAGGTGACTTGCATCTCGTCACCCTTGATGTGACGGACCCTGATGGCGTCGTCTAACTCGATGAAACATCTCAAAAGGGAATCTTTATCGGTTCCCTTATACCTTGAGATATCAATCTTCAAGGTTTCGGGTCGACGCATGTGCGTCGGACCGCCATTGACTGATGAGAGCCTTGCTGCTGTAGCAAGGCTATCTTCTGTCTTTCGACGGCATTCGCCCTTGTAGGAACTTGTTAATAGCAGCATGTTGCTAGTCTTTGATTAGATGATTTCAACATGCCACTAATGACGGGTTCGCCCGTGAGCACACTAATGGCAGGTACGCCCGTGAAAACACATATGCGGTCGACTACCTTCTATTCTGAGTCACTCACATAGGAGTAGCCTTCACGTCTGACGTGAAAGCAGTCGTCTTCTACGTCCAGCGTGTTCCATGTTATACGGACTACAAAGTGCTACCAGGTGTAACGGGACACCCTTTTTCTGGGGGTCACGAAACTTCACGTACACTAGTACGTGCAGAGGAAGTTATTATACTTAACAACTAAGCAGAGTAAAGGGTAAAACGAGAACTTTATTTAATATAGTTAAGCTATCAATATAACTTCGGTCTTAATCTAACTGTATTTAACTTCATTTTCGTATGACGACAACCTGCTCATCACTCGTTGCGTGCGTCTAGCAGCGATTGGTGGTAATCTGTGGTTGATACGTCCTTTATTAACCAAGCTTCGAGCATCACATGAATATTATCCTAAAAGGGGAAAATTTTCCTTCAATATCATCCATCTCGGATAATATTGGTAGAATATTGTCATGTTGGACGATGAGCATATTGACACCTAGCGGTGTCAATATCATTTGACGGGCTACCCCGTTTCTTATTTGAACTTGCATATTTTCCCGTTGTACACGACTACTTAAGTGATCATTTTGGATGCTGATACGAAATCGGTTTGGGGTCGACGTATATCAAAGAGCAACCTCGGCTGGCTCAAGACTAGGACCCTCGCCTTCTGTAAACTTTACGACCGTTATTCGTGGCCCTGATACTAATTTTTTCATATAGTATAAAATTATAATTTGAGTGGAACACATTCCTTCCTGTAAAAACACCGCCACTGGACACGCTTTTAGAGGTCTATACAAGACCGGCCACCGCCAGTGACGGGACCGTGAAACTCTCAGTTTCCACATGATCAGGTCCTGCCTCTTACACTTGCATACTGAGGTCATGGCTGGAAGTGAGGGAAAATTTCAGCAGAAGAAAGGACAGGAGCACTGAGTTGAAAAGGTTAGTCTACACACGGCCTTGCACCGCCTCGCTGACCTAAGACGACAGAAAGATGCCAAAGCACATGCTTGCCAATATTACAAAGTTGTGTTGCGCGCGAGTGAACGTTGCATCGGCCTTTAGGAAGTGACCAGTCGCAAAAAAGCATAGACTGTGGAATATTGACTCATAGCGGAGAGGATTGGAGAAGTGGACTGTAGTGACATTCTTTTTATCACAGGTGGTACGATATCGTCGATACGTTCGTTATACCGCGTAAAGGTGAAAGCATACCATACTTGGATACATCTCAATCATTCGTTCGCTGCGCAATGCGGAAGTGAAAACGAACCGACATCGCTAAGGCGCAAATCTGGTGCGGATGCAGTGCAACGCGACCACTATGATAAGATTTGATGTGAAATTGGATCAAAACCGGATAGCAATTGGAATAGAAATGCCCCCTTTCCATACTTGGGTTTAAAATGCCAAAGGTGCCAACTCAAGCATATGAGGTACGGCAGCAACTTTACGAAAACCTGGCAGTGGCACAGCAGAGGAAGATATTTAATTGGTGCTGACTTTTTAGACGAGTACTCACCCCGAAGTTTTAGGCACACTCCAGGGCAGTCAGGAACTGTAGATGCGTATTTAGGGACGCGACGCTGAACAAATTGATCCTGCTATCATCCACGACAATATAAGGCTGATTATATCAAGGGTGGCTAGCGCTACGAGAAGTTTTAATGACGGTGGCACAGAATGAAATGGTCCGTCTTTTAGCCTGGGCTATAAATGCGGCTTTTGCTGGCTCTTCGAGAAGGGTAGTCAAGAAGCTTCGATATAGCAACGCCAGTGAGTCATGTTAATCTTCAGTGAGAGGGGTGAAAAGGAAATTCTGGTCCCATAAGCACCGGCTCGATTATTGTTATTGTTGGATGACCGCCAAAAGACTATAGCAAAGCTACACAGCTTCTTAAGACGGGGAAAGACTTAGTGCAGAACGATCAATGTTGGTTCAAAAGACCTGGACTCAATGAGTCAACAAGCGCTAGGCTTAATGTACCTGTTCCAGGGGGTTGAACAATTCATTGAATCTACAGCACTTAGTGCTCAAGAGTAGATACATCAGGGAGATATTGCAAACTATAAACGATCATCGATCAGAGACGCCTCGTAAGGCATGTGTTTTAGACCAGATCAATAGGGAACTGAACTTTAATTACGTTTAACACTTTAAAATATCTTAATTCTAATATTACCTAATCTAGGCGCTCATATCCTATCAAAATATTTTCAAGATCTTCCCTGTCTTGAGGCTGACACCCGTCAGCCCCTGTAAATCGAAAACACATTCTAAATCTCTTTCAGTGCCACACCATCCCGTGTATCTTAGACACAGGGTAACAAGTACGCTACGATATGTTACCCTATCACACTATCTCTTACCAGACTTACGGATACATAAACATTCATTAGACTTTGTTCCTCAACGAGATTAGCCTGCTTGCGGCTGACGTCATGGTCACGCTAAGCTCTATCTTATGTTCTCATCGCCTAACAATTCATAGAATTTTCGTACATACCTCGAGATAAAGGAGGTAGTGGACTATGTAGAGATGCCGGTGTCCCGGGTAATGCAAGAAGAATTCCTGATACTCCCATGCTTAAGTACAGCCTCCTTATACGCTACGTCAATTATCTGAACGTGGTGATGCGGATGCGTCATTGGCCTTGCATTCAACACCCGGTTTTAATGATGCAGTCATTTAAAACCTGCTCGATGAGCAGTAAAGTTGGCCTTATATCGAGAATAAAAGCTCGGCTCTATGCACATATGTTCACAACCCTTGCAAAGCAGAGTGACTATGTGTTAACTATACTTAGTGCGAAAACATTTTTGCGTCAACAGACTTGCCACACATTGGCAACGTGGAACATTGGTCTTGTAGATTCTTCTCCCGAAGAAGAGGCAAGTGGCCAAGCACATCGGGAGGGGTACCGAAAGCCATGTCCGACAATGCAAAATCAGTACAAGGCACGCCTTGAGATGCAAGCACGTGGTGCACTGGTTCCAACATTCAAAGGAATACAAATTTGCCTGTTCGCTGGAGAAACAAAGGACAAAGACGACAATGCCTTCGTTCGCTGGGTGCACCGCACTGGTCGCCTCAGCAGTGCATACGCTCTGAAAGCTAGTTGTGGGTATAGCCAAAGTGCATCTCAAAAAAAAGCTTTGGTATGATTTTGCCAAGCTTGATGCCAGAGGCAAAATGCGCAATTCAACACATTATGCTTCAGCTACTACGGGAGCCGCAAGTGCTGGTCAGAATGTGACCACCAACCCGCCAGCCTTCATGACTATTGGTGGGAAATGATCTCGGATACGAGATGACATTGGACACGATGTTCAAGTAAATTTACGGTTGAGGGGCAATCTATCTGAAAGGGAACCTCATACTCCCATGAGCTCTTCTCATCCGGGTACTCACGCCACTACAACAGATACTGGTTTTGGCCTTGAAAAAAACTTCATTTCGTAAGTCTCTCTACATGGAATCGGTAGTTCGCTTGCTAATCGAGCAGCTTCTATGGAGATCGGTGTACCGAACGAGGAGCATGAGAAGGTGATCGTCGAGCTGAGTGGTCTCCGTGAGACAATAAGTAAGACCCAGAGTGCGCTCAGCGCGGCACAAGCTCGCGTTCAGGAGTTGGAGTCGACACACACACAGACGGAGGCCCAGCTTGACCTCCTGATTCAAAGCTAGCAGCTGATGGCAAGGCCAACTCTCGTGGTGCAAGCACCTCAAAGTTCACGTGGATTGGATCCGATACGGATATTTAAGCCAATGAAGAACACAGTGTATGTGCGCAATTTGCGTGAAAGGTTTAGCGATTACGCCGGTCACTTCTAAGCGGTGACCGTAAACAGTTATATGAAGTGCGGACGCAACTTTGTCTAAAATACAGCAGACACTACAATTGTAGGTAGGTTTTTAGCATTGAGAAATGCTTGGTCTCCGACCTCATAAAATTTTTAGAGCAAATTCTTCCTTTGGCATCAGCTTATTGTTTTTGTTGCTCTTGTCTATCATCCATTGCGTCACGCACATGTCGAGCGACGTTCAACCGCCTTGCAAGAAATTTGCCTACCTGTTTTTGAACAGGAACAGGGCTGATATTAGCAAGCCGATCGGCAACCTTTCCCCCATTAAGCCCTGAACCACATAGCGGTAGTGTTAATGAAACGCGAGGGCGGGTGAGACCGTTTACGCATAACGAAGCATAGCCTGTGGACGCATGGACAGCGTTGTTCATTACAAATTCAACAACAGGGAGTATGAAACCCGAACGCGTAGGCGTACCTGTGCAAACACTGCACAAAATGACATTAATGACACGATCAATACGCTCAGTGTAACCATCGGTCTGTGCGTTATTCTTTGTGACGATGTCCAACCTTGTGCCGAGTACCTTAAAGATGGACTTCCAAAACATTCTACTAAAGCAGGTATCTCTATAAGAGGTAGTTGCCATTGGCCAAAAGTGATATCGAAATGCACAATCGGTAGAAAGCTTCGCTATACCTTCGGCATCAATACAGTCTAGCACTGCCACAAGATGATCCATCTTGCTCAATCGTTCAACAAAGACCACAATGATAGCGATGCTATCCGAGCATTTCGGTAGGCCAAACACAAAGTCCATTCGCATAAACTCCCAACTCCCAGAGGTTGCAGACAGACACGTCAGTTGCGCCAACGAATGTACTGAGAATTTAACCCCGTTGACACATTTCACACGTACGTGCATAGTTGCTATACCACTTGCATTTCTTGGGCCACCAAAAATCCTGACTCACTGAGATATGGGTCTTCTCACTACTAATATGATCACTTAAAGCGGTATGATGTGCCTTAAAGAGGATTCGAAATTCAAGTACTTATCATAAGGGACAGCGATACGAGGGTTATCCTAAATATATGTGAGATAGCACAACAGGCCATTATCAATTAAATATCGATGTTGCTCGCACGTAAACATGCCGACAATTTCCTGTCCGAGTTTTTAAAACTCCTCGCTCTCAAGAGCCCGTAAAAAAGGCTACATCTTGTTCATTCTTGGCATCAGCCGCACGCATCAAGTCAGGGACTGATGACGACAGTGTCGTAACATGAGCAAGCTCATAGTCAGGTCGGCGCAATAGCTCATCAGTCAAGGTATTTTGCTTTCCTAGGCTTGGCTTCACTTCGTAGTCATATTCGGCAAAGAATTAAAGGAAACAAATCATATTCCGAGAGAGTCGCGACGACTGTCTCGCAGTGCTCGATGATGCATGATCTGTATACATCACAAATGTCTTTTGAGCCAAGCAGATGTACTTTAAATTTGGCTTGAGCGTACTTCTAGTAAGTAGCTCTTTGTCATGAACTGGATAATTTTTCCAGCAGTTTTGAGATGTCAAGATTCAAATGCAATAACGGATTCGCGTCCATCTACATCAGTTTGCAACCGAGCACTACCTATGTCAAAGTTAGATGCGTCACAGATGACACTGGAAGGTCGTTCAGGAAAGTTCAAATCCAGTATCGGCATTTAAGAAGACTTTTTTAACTGCTTGAAAAGCATCGGGCTCGGTGTTGCTCAAAACACATCCTTCTTAAGGAGACTAAATAATGGCCGAGACAAATCTGCGTAATACGCACTATACTAACGCAAGTAATTTGCAAACCCGAGCCACTTACGCAGATCATTTTGTTTCTTTAAAACCGACCAATCTACTATGGCCCTTACCTTAGCGGGGTCCGCTCGAAGTCCTCGCGTCCCAATAAAGCACACCAAAAAGGGAATCTGTTCTGAACCAAATGATCAATTAATAACATTTGCATTTGCATTTAATTTATTCGTGCGCATGCACTCGAGCACAGCTCGCAAATGACAAATGTGTTTTTTCCACATCACATCGACCATTCGCTGCATAACTATTAACAAAGATGTCATAAGGTACGCATGTGCATGGATTTAATCAGCTTCAAAGATTTGGTCATAAGACGATTAAAGTTCTAGGGGGGCATTTGACAGCACTTGTGGCATTATGAGCCACCCTTAGAGCATAAAAGCTCGGAGTACTAACCGCTGTTAGCGAAATATCGCTTGCTTGCATCATCAGCTGGTAATAACATCGACTTAGCCGAGTGCACTGTACAATGTATATCCCGCCAGATTGTTTTATAATACAATCTTTTGGGGATTGACGTCTGAGCCGTGATAGTAGCAGCACTATTCTCATTATAAGTATGCACAATGTGCCACTTGCCATGTGTCTTCCTCACACAAAAATGCAGATTTGGAATGGGAATATCTACTCTCACACTATTACAGACGCGTGCTTTGCGCGAAAATTTTTACTAATGATGTCATTTTGTTTTAGAGAATGAGGTCACTGATGTGTTAAGCAGTATACAGTTCCTGGAACTAGGTCAATTTATGACGCAAAACTCAATCGTGATGTAATATCAATGGTCAATTTAGATGCACCGCATCTTTAAAATCCTTTAACGATAGATAAAATTGATCGGAAGGATATTTAAAGATAGAAAATCCAATTCGGGCACTGAGTGCCTCCTTGGTGTCCTTCACGACCGACTCATCAATTAGTAAGTACTATTTCAACTCGACATAGGGTCTAGTGACCACGTATTATAATATATCTATGCCTCTAAGGCCTGGTTAACCTTGCCATCAGACATTTCGTCTAGCTCACAAAGAGCATATAAAGGTGGAAGGTTTTCCGGGCTAACGTTGCCATCAACCTGACCGGTCACTCCATTCACATGCGTATATAGTGTATTACGATTATGACTCAGTGACTGTGTGGACGCAAGGCGCTAAACAGTGGCCACCTGACGTCCAAGTCGTCTCTTAAAGACCTTACACCCCTTAGGGGTCGGGACACTACTGTCCCCGTTAATACTACGAATAGTAGTACGCTCTATACAAGAGCCGATGTCTTGATCGACATCCAGTGAAGGGTTACATAACGCGAACTCTTCACCCAGTGAAATTCCATGTGCCACTCTACGTACACTATGCGGGCCAAGCTCTGAACTGAACGGCTTTTCGCAAACAATGGCATTATCGACGTTTAGTGTGGTGCCCTCACGGCCGCTCACACTCGGTGAATTTTCAGGTGCCACCTCACACACATCAAACGATCCACATACTAGATATTACGGCCCTGGGTCAACCATGCTATCAGCATTCAATGACTCGTTATCACAAAGAGTGACACTCAATGGAGTACGTGCCGTATCACCAATATTAGACGAGATAAGCTCGAAATAGATTTTTGCAACATCGGAGTAAGACATCGCGGACATTCCAATTTTTAGCACATTGACATGTTCTGTCAAAGGCTTGCGCCGATAGCGCTTCTGTTGCCTAGCGAAAGTGGGTTCATGAATCTTCAAAACTTCGCTAGGAACGTTGCGCGTGGCGCCTAAGGTCTTCGACCTCCAATTAATCCAGGGTTCATGGCGTTCAAGCCAAGCCATACCAATCATGAGATCATATCTCGAGTCCAATTTAAGGATAAGACAGCGTATAATGCTGTCAAAGTCTAAAAATGTATACCTAAGTTTAATGAAACTTTGGGTACAGTAACACGACTTCCAGTCTCTAAACGAACCGTGATAGAATCACCCTCATACGCTGTAAGCGCCTCAACATAACGCTGGATTCTTTCAAGGGAACGACGTCGAGCATAATTGCAAGACGCTCCAGAGTTGATCAATATCGATTAAGGCCTCTCAAAGCCCTAACTTTTCGCCCGGCGACTAACAAGCCAGACTTGTATCCACGCTCCAATACTATAGGTACGAAGCTCTTTGGGGCTAAGCTCTGTTTAACTTTACCTTCTAAATTTGTAACAGAACCCATTTTTCCCCAGTAGGGCGCCCCGCGCCTACCGGGCGTCGGCATTTTCCCGTGTCATGCCAGACTTCTGGCTCGGGGTGGAATGCTGTCTTGTGGCATGACATTGTTAACGCAAAGGGCAACCACGCTGCAAGTTTTCAGTGCTTCCGCACGACAACATCGTCGTACGACGCATTTCTGCTCAGCAGCTTCACCTTCATCTTCATCACAGATGAGATCCAATCGTTCCGACCTATTAAAGGCGGACCCTCGTAGAATTTGCGCTCGCAGGGCTAGAGTTGTACTCATTTCAGGCCAGCCTGACCGACTTGAAGTTATCCTCCGCAATAAGAACGATTCTTACGAACTCTTCGAAAGTAGAGGGGTGAACCCGAAAAACTTCGGTTTCGACAATGCCAGTACGAAGACCTTCCATGCAGGTAGTCATATGAACTGCCTCAGGCAGAACGTCGACTGCATTGCAGCCATGTGAGAGCTCCCAGCTTTTGAACATAGTCCGTTAGCCTAACCTTTCCCTGACGGGTAGGTAAAAAGCGTGAACGCACGCGGTAAGCTTGGTTAGGTGGTGAGAACACCTGTATCAGTTGTGACTTAAGCGACTTCCACGTAAGAAAAGTCAAGTCGACCAATGTACTACACGTCAAGGACCACTCTCTAGCTCTTTCATCGAGCTATTAGATAACCAGCAAGACATATTGATTGTAAATCTTGTCCGGGCCTGATCGCATGGCTCTCTTTTAAATATCAAAAATCGTGAGGAAGCGATTCCACCCTCTACTATGAATAGTATTATAATTTTCACTCTAAGTGGACGAGGCCTAGCCTCTTCATCGGGTACAGACACATAAAGTGTATGCATAGCAGACGCTATTCGGTCCTGGACCTGCCCTAAAAGGGTCGCTTCATACTTCATGAGACCTTCGACACGTGCATTTAGCACCTCAGGGCCTTGTGAAACAAGGAACTCCACGTACTCTGTACCCAAAGATGCGGTCAGCTTGTCAAGCGTGACCTTTTGAGCCTCAAAGAGGGGAGTGTTTTCTTTTTATAAACTCACTGAGGATCTATCTAAAAAGACTCAGGCGTAGATTGACTACAGGCGCACCAAGCATAGCGGAGCTACACAGCTCCTTAAATCAGAGGAAGACTTAACGCTCAACGAGCAAGTTAGTTCTAACGAACTGGTTTTAATGCGTCAACAAGCGTAACGCTTTTGGTCCTTGTTTCAGGGGTCAAACGATTCAGTGAGTCGACAGCACTTAATGCTCAAGATTAACTAGCTACCTCAGGGAGGTGTCGCTAACGCTTAGTGATCAGCGATCAACGACCAAAAACGCCTCGCATGGCATGTGTATTAAAGATCAAAAGGGGAACTGGATTTTATTTACATTTAAACCTATCGAATATCTTAATCCTAAGTTAGTACAGCTAAGATCCCTCCTATCTAGTGGCTGACATCAGTCAGCCCCGATATACCGAAACGATATTCTATATCTCTTTCAGTGGGAAACCATCCGTGCGTCTAAGACACAGTGTACCAGGTACCCAACTACGTGTAACCCCTTTACACGCTGTCTCGAAATTGCGGTGAAGCTTGGCAATCCTCCTCAGTATCGTTAGCGTAAACAATAATACGTACCCGTTTGTCAGAAAGGACGAAATTTTTACAACGATCACCTTCAGCCGCGCGCAGTGTGACAATGCTCTCGAAGACAAAGCGAACAACGGCATTTTCGTGCTTACGCCAAACGGCCACCTAGAGCACTGGCCTGACTTTAGTGAGCGTAAACTGTGCCATCTCTGGACCGCTGTGGGACGGCTAAGACAACGCGGTGTCGCTACATGTGAAGCCATGCGCGGTATTTAAGTGCACTTTCCATCCAGGCGCATTGATCGATCTTAGGTAACACTTGCGATAGATTATACACTGAAGCTTCCCGTTTTTCATGGCTTGTCGCGGTCTGCCCAATCATGCACTTAGTTTTAAAGAAAATATGCCCCTGTCTCTTGCGATTTTTTTGGATGGGGCACTACATGTAACGGGGCACCCTGAAGCTTGTACTGATGACAGTACAAGCTACTTATTCTGACGACAGAATAAGGCGGTGCCTCGGAACTTCACGTACACTCGTACGTGCAGAGGAAGACGGTAAGAAGAAGCGAGTACTTGGTTAAAGTAAAAAGTAGAACTGTATTTCTCATAGTCAATGTCTGTCAATAAATCACTATTTATCTTCATCTAACTATGTCTAAATACAAATGTGTAAATCAGTTATCTGCTCACCACTCATTGCGTGCGTCTGTCGTGGCGCGTCTTCGTTGGTTGATATAATGGCCTACATCAACCAATTAGAAACTACTCGTAAGTGCTGCAGAATATTTGTCCTTATGACAATATTCTGAGAATATAACTCTTATAGTTGTATTCTAATAACAATTTTATAAATTGTTATGTAGCGATTCACCCCGTTACATCACCCCCCCTTAACCATCAGTCACTTTAGTGACTGATTGACTAAATGGATACTCGTCCCAAATCACTTGGGATCGGGTTTGCACTTGTTGGTCCGAGTCCACTTTCCAACATCTCATCGCATGGTTAACAAGCCCATGCGGTGCGCGAGCAAGGCCGCCGAGAGCGCGTCCGCACGTCTCTGTGCAGAAGCCGAAGCAGAAACCATAGCAACTGATGTCGCATCGGTTGCTGAAGCGACCCAGCATGTGTCACTTGGTGATGCAGGCGCTGGTCATGAAGACACTCATGTCTTCACAGAGTATGAGCTCGGTGTCTCATACTCTCCTGATACGGATGACGGATCCGTATCGACGGCGATTGAATCTAAGCCGCCTGCCAAGCGTGGTATGGACGATACTACGCGTCGTAGAATCTTTGGTTTATCTGATGAATCAGATGAAGCATCGCCAAAGCGAAGGCGCTCGAAATCGCGAGACTCGGGCGCTAACAGTGGTGTCGGTTCTCCTATTGACACCACTTTGCAACGAGGTGCCAGTACTTCTGTCGGCACGTCGCAAGAAGAGTGGGACCGCAGTGTGTTGCGTCTCGCTCCTGAAAAGAAAGCATGGCTGCATCCAAAATCCGTCATGGATCACTTGTCGGCGACGACGAGTGATCGTTATCGAACACGATTGTTCGATTCGTCAAGGATCCATCACCTTGACCCCAGCGCGAAAAACTATCGCGCTGAACATGAATTCTTCATCGATGCTTTCTTTAAGCACCGATGGTACAGTGGGAATCACAAACGTGATGGTCCCTCACTGCTTCGAGCGTGGAACGCTAACATCCATAACCTTGAGGATGTAGGTAGTGACGTTTGGAGCGACAAACTTATCAAAGCTCGTGATAAGTTTGAGAAAAGAACCCCGACAGGTGCACGCTATAAGCTGCATCGTCTGTCTAGGGAGAGTGGGCTACCCTGCCTCTCCTGGAGAGACCCGTGCCCTTGTTGTGTGAACAACTCTGCGCGCGCACCAAAGGAGGCTTACCTCCTTACCAGCCCGTGGTGGCGCGTAAGTATCTCTACTGAGATGTACGAAGGGATAGACAACCTGAAATCCCTTTATGACCGCGCCGGGAAGACTTTCTCCGGCGGTCCTTCTGCGGCACAGGATGTGCCGCGTCGTACTGCTCAACCAGACCCAGTACGTCGATCATCAGTTGGGAGCGGGGCTCCCAAGAATCCCAGGACGGGGGATAACCGCGCCACATGACGAGGTAACTCGTCCGAGGTCCGTTCACGTCGCGGTGGTTCAACAGCTGCTCAACCAGATAGCGGTGGCCACCGCGAGAGTCCTCTAATGGAGGTGGAGGAGAAGAAAAAAAAACGCTATCCAAACTATCGTGGGGGAGCGTGTGTCCCCGAGAGCCTCCTTGATCGCGTAACTCTTGCGTTGCGCGGCGACCTCGAGTATGAGCGGGACAGGCGTCTCCAACTGGCGGACGCTGTCTCAAAGCATCAAGCTGAGTTTGCCTTAGCTCAGCTTGAGAACGAGAGAGCTTTGACATCTCTGCGTGACGAGCTAAGGGTAGCTCGTGGGATTGTTGATCGGTCTCGGGATGAGATAGCTGCTCTTTAGACCCTTGATGATATCCACCATCGGGAGCACAAGGCCCTCTGTGAGATGCTTGAGCGCAAGGGCGTTCTTCATCGGAAGAAGCAGCGTACTGATGGTACGGCTTAAGCCGACCAACGTAAAACGTGGGATGCGTTCGCATCTTACGTGGCAACTCGATCGTGTATGCATTGCCTAGGAGGTGCAATACACGAAATGGGCCGATGTACTTGGGTAGAAGTTTACTACTACCCAAGTTAGTCACTACATGCTTTGGTAGATTAACCGTAGACAGTAGTACTAAGTCACCTTTATTAAATAAAAGAGTGTTTGCCCTTCCATTCTTGTCTGCGTTTTGCTTTTGCTTATCTACCGCTTCGGCGATGGAGTCTTGCACAAAACGGACTACCGTTTCACGAGCCAGTACGAACTCATCTGCTGACTCGTTAGCTTCAGTGCGCTGTGAGTGCAGTGCAGCGACATCAATCTTTTCTTCAGTAAGGGCTTCCTCGCTCTCACTGGCATCATCTTCTTCGATATCGATGTTGTCGATATCGGCATCAAACGCAATGACTTCTTCGTCCGAGCGTGATGAGCGTGAACCAAATCGGTTTTTGCTCGCGCGAGTCCCTCCCCCCCCTTAAACCAGAGTTACACTCTAGTAAGGTGGGTACACGCGGATGGCGTAAGCCATTCACGTAAAACGGTGTATGTGTCGTGGACGCACGCACCGAGTTGTTAATGGCAAACTCTACCATTGGCAAGAACTCACTCCAACTCTTAAAGGAGTGTACGTATCCTCGAAGTATCTCTTCAAGCACACGATTGGCACGTTCCGTCTGACCATCTGACTCTGGATGATCAGATGTCGACATCTTCAAGCGCGTTCCGAGTGATTTGAACACGGAACGCCAGAAATAAGCAGTGAATCGTGGATCTCTGTCTGATACGAGTTCACGGGGCAGCCCATGAAGTCGAAAGATGGTGTCAATAAAGACACAAGCACAGCCACTTGCTGTGATTGACTCGGGTACAGCCACTAGGTGTACCATTTTGCTGAATCTGTCAACAAAGACGAGAATACCCGTATTCCCGCGTGAATCTTTGAGTAAACCGAAGACGAAATCCATTGAGATGGATTCTCAGCACTCAGCCGGAATCGGTAGAGGCTGTAAAGGTGCACGCAGTGAAGGACTTGACTTCACTCGTTGACAGACTTCGCATGCGCGAACACACTTGCGCACAAACTGATACTGGCGGGGCCAGTAAAAGTCTCGACTCACCGTGAGATATGTTTTCTCCGGGCCACGATGTCCTCCTATAGGAGCATCGTGATACTCGAACATGATCCGCAAACGCAGATCAGTATCATCTGGAATGACAACACGTGGTGTGTCACCAGTAACGGCTGTATAATACAGTAAACCGTTGCGAGTAGTGTATCGATCTGATGCAGATTGATACGCAGACGATAATCGTTTCAACGATTCTCGAGATGGTTGGGAGAGATGTGTCAACAACTTCACAATCTCACCATCTTGGGCGTATGCCCGCCTCACATCATCATACAACGTTGTAGATGGGACGGAGGACGTCATAACCACAACAGTGGCTGTCTCACTGTTGGGTTTCACTACTGGTTCAAAGTCAGGACGACGTGAGAGTGCATCAGCGAAGACATTAAGTCGTCCTGGTTTGTACTCGACCGTACAGTTGTATTCTGCAAAGAATGACAACCACCGCGCCATTCGTTGTGAAAGGTGCGGACTGTTCACTGCCGTGCGTAACGACGCATGGTCAGTGTAAACAATGAAGGTTCTATCTCCTAATAGATAGAATCTGAACTTCGCGAGTGCATACTTCATGGCAAGGCGTTCCTTGTCATGCACTGGATAGTTCCGCTCAGCTGGTTGCAGCTGACGCGACTGATAGCAGACAACGCGTTTATCGCCTTCAAGATCGTACTGCATTAATGCACAGCCGATTGCGAAATAGCTGGTATCACAGACCACATGAAATGGCCTGTCCTGATCGGCAATTGCTAGGACTGGGGATTGTATCAAGCTCTGCTTGATACCATCAAAGGAGCGCTGACATTCAGCGTTCCATACCCACCTCTCGTTCTTTTTCAACAAACGAGAGAGGTGTATAGTCATCTCGGCTTGATTGCGCGAATACTTATGCAAATACGCCGCTAGCCCAAGGAGTTTTCGAAGACCTTTGACATCAACCGGCACCGGCCAGTCGGTGATCGCCTTGATCTTTCGTGATCAGGACGTACTCCGTTCTTACCAACGATGCAATCAAGAAGTGGTATTTTGCTTGCTGCAAATATACACTTCTTGAGGTTTGCATACAATTGATGCTTTCGCATGATTGTAAGAACCTGTCGGACGTGGTATCTGTGAACCTCAACGTCCGACTTTGCCCGACTATGGATGAATACGTCATCGAAAAAACTCGGCGCGAATTCTCGCACTGGTCTCAACAGATGTGATACACATCTGTTGAACGTGGCAGGGGCATTACTAAGCCCTTGTGGGATTACTAGCCATTCCCAGAGCATGCCGCTAGGCGTGCTAACTGCGGTGTAGGGTATATCCCGTTCTCGCATAAGGATTTGATAGAAGCCATCCATCAAATCCAGGGACGAAAAGATGGTACTCTTTGATATACCATCAATGATTACGTCCTTCCTTGGTATCGGCGTCTGAGCCGGTACCGTTGCAGCATTCAACTTGTTAAATGCATGCACTATCCGCCACCCTCCTGTTGCTTTTCGCACACAGAAGGTCGGAGAGCTATGTGATTCCCTCACATGGCCCGCAGCTAAACGATCGGCAAAGAACTTGTCGATCGCAAGTACTTGTTCACGAGGCAGTGGCCACTGCTTCATGACACAGCACTTCGAGCCTGGTTTAAGCTCGACCTCGTGTCGAATACATTTATCCTTCGGTAATTCGCACGGGAAAGTTTCAGGGAATACATCCTTGAATTCAACCAGATCTTCATAGAGAGGATTTGTCTTGAGCGATTCCCTCGATTGGGAGTCATATCGCTTAACTCGTGTCTTTTCATCGAGGACGCTCTCGTCCATCGATGAACTACTGAGAACTCTCTCGTTCTCAGTGAACACTGTTGCTGACCTTATGTCGGTTACACACTCGTCGTCAGCGACGAGTATGCAGATCTGCTTGACTTTGGCACTACACAGATCACGCAAGAACCTTTTATGTTCGAGCGTTGGCAACTGAGTGGTCTCCGAAGTCAACTTCGGAGGCGCAATCAGATCAAGTGTATAAGCGCCTACGCTTGATCTGTTATTGACTATGACATTCAATGTCTCTGTCATTTCCTGGGGACTTATTCCCTCAGGCCTCGAAGGACTTCTTGCTTCGGCTTCCCGGGGACTTATTCCCTCGGGTTTCGGGGAACTTATTTCCGCCGTATTTGTAATACCGGGACTTATTCCCTTTACTTCCTCTATCTGGGGTTGCGCAACCACAGCGAGATCCTCTACGAAAGACTATCCGGTCGATCTAGGATTATCGTTTCGCTTAACCTGAGCGATCGATTGTTTCTCTTCTAGATGTTCCCCGCTAGGGATACATCTTTGTCCCGGTCCACTCGACTTATTCGAGTGGTGGACCTTCGGCGCAGCCTGTGTTTCCTCACAGCCGCCGGAACTTTGCTACGAAGTGTAACCGTTTGGTACACTAAGGTTTTGTGCAGTCGTGCTAACGACCGTACCACAAGTGAGGACATTGCACTCACTCGTAGTACATCCACACGCTTGTGGACGCTCCAAAATGTTCATCAGATGGCCACCTGATGAACAAGAGGCAGGCATCGTCACTGTTCGATGGTGCCAGTTTACCCGTGGTTCGTACCTTCTGAGCCACGGTATTCCAAGGATGACATCAAATTTGTCATCCAAATCCAATCCGATAAAGTCATCGTCATATTGGGTATCTTCTAGCGTATAGTGGATCTTCACTATACACTTCATGACGGTTACGGATGCGCCTGTCGCAAGACGTACCGTCATCTTCGTGGGAAATGTGTCACATTCACTGAATTTAAAATGACCATCTTCTAGCGATTGGCGTCGCACAAAATTGTTGGACGCCCCACAATCGACTAGAGCTCGAAGGGACAACTTGTTCGTCACTTCGAGTTTCAAGGTAATGAGTGAGATCTCATTACCTAGAGCAGCAACGCACAACGTTTGTGTGTTGGGAGCAACCTTCATCAAGAGGCCTACAAATTCTCTTGACGTTGCTGGACCAGTAGGGTGCTCCGCACCTACTGATCCTGTCCGTTTTTTTATGGTCCATCCCGTAGTTGCGTCTTTGCACCAAGAGCGGACCCGTGTTCCTGCCCCTTTCTCATGGGTGAACGGTCATTACGCCCAGTGTTGCGATACACGGGACGAGGGGCACTACACTCGTAAGCGTAGTGTCCTGTCTTTTGACATCTGTTGCATCTCTGCAACTTCTTGTAGTCTGTAAAGCGAGCCTTCTCTCTCTCTACATAACAGAGTTCCATCGGCTCTGGACCTCCACTGTCATATCGTCTCGGTGGACGATATGATGTCGAGCTGGCGCGAGCCTGTCTCAGACTGAAGTCTTCCTGTTCCGCAATGGAAATGGCTTGTGAATCTAATTCAAGCCCGAACAGGTGAGTCTTGACGGGACCATCCGCAAGACCCTGCATGAACACCGAAACCAACGTGTGTTCATCAACCGGGTTGGAACTTATACAACTCGTGAGATGTCGTATATGTTGCACGTAATCGTGCACATCACGCTTACCTTGCTTGAGCTTCAAGAGTTCAGTTCGAGCTCTGAACTCAGCTTCAGGCGGTTCAAACGTTTGTCTGAGCCGCGACTTGAAGCCTTCCAACGACCCAAACGCATATGGGTCGTGCAACTTGAGCCCTAGTGCCCAAGTCTTGGCACGTCCTTCCAGATTTGACTGGGCAAATGCAACTTGCAAATCCCCGTCGTCGATGCGACGCGCCCTTATGGCGTCATCAAATTCGACGAACCATCTCAAGAGGGAGTCTTCTTCGACTCCCCTATACTTGGAGATGTCAATTTCAAAGTCTCGGGTCGACGCGAGTGCATCGACCCACCAGCAGCAGCCTGCTGCTGTCTCAACAGTTCAAACTGTTGAGCACCCTGTTCTCTCAACAACTCTGCTTGTTGAGAACCTTGTTGGTGAAGCAAGGCTACAATCTCTCGTTCAGCGTCAAGTTCATTTTGAATGAACTTGACGATAGTAGCATGTTGGGCATCTCTATTGAGAGCCTCTAGCATGACGCTAACAGCATGGATGCCCATGGTTGAACCCATTCGTTCAACCGCATCCCATTCGACATCGCTCAAATGGGAGTAGACGTCACGCGTAGCGTGAAAGCTTTGGTCATCTTCATCATCCAACATATTCATGTTAGATGTGAACGTGGTTCTTGGACGGACTACGAAGTGCTACCAGGTGTAACGGGGCACCCTGAAGCTTGTACTGATGACAGTACAAGCTACTTATTCTGATGACAGAATAAGGCGGTGCCTCGGAACTTCACGTACACTCGTACGTGCAGAGGAAGACGGTAAGAAGAAGCGAGTACTTGGTTAAAGTAAAAAGTAGAACTGTATTTATAATAGTTAATGTCTGCAATAAATCACTATTTATCTTCATCTAACTATGTCTAAATACAAATGTGTAAATCAGTTATCTGCTCACCACTCATTGCGTGCGTCTGTCGTGGCGCGTCTTCGTTGGTTGATATAATGGCCTATATCAACCAATTAGGAACTGCTCGTAAGTGCTGCAGAATATTTGTCCTTATGACGATATTCTGAGAATATGACTCTTATAGTTATATTCTTTTAACAATTTTATAAATTGTTATGTAACGATTTACCTTGTTACACTACCGGGATATTGACGTCGTCTATGCTGCTGCAACTACTGGACAGGGACGATACCTGGACGTCGGCATCGTTGTTGTTACCGCCGACGCTGGCGCCCTTCATGATTCTATAGACTTAGGAATGTAGTTGTGCGCGAAGACGTGTGATTGGCGTTTAATGAATTTTCCTCTGAGCTCTTGGAGGTCAGAATTCAGGAGGATTCGTGGCAAATTCCGTAACAAACTTCGTGGCTACGGAGCAACTCAAATCGCGCGAAATGCAACGCAGAAGCCTTTTTGTCAGGCTTAAACATTTTTAACGTGTGATTACAGGAGAATCGGGAAAAGGAATCGTCTACACCATTACTCATTACCCACTACCTCTTGCTCAGCCTTCACCCTTTTGCACTGAATTTTTCCAATTTAGCAGGTAATGAAGAGTGTTTTACCCTGCCTTGCCGAGTCTTCCGAGCGTCTGGTACGCAGTACCATCCAAGTCATTAATTTTACTCTCCTCTTACTTTATATGTAAAAAGTACCACATCAACTACGAGCGCATTGACCTGCTCAACTTCCGCTTCGAAGGCTCCGAGCGCGTCCTCGTGCACGTGACCGAGTCGACGTCCGTCCTCACGTGTCACGCCGTCGAGCTCCACGCCTTCCACGTGTTCGTCGATGACGTCGCCTCGCCGTGGCGCACCCAAGAAGCGACCGCGATCCGCTCTAACCGCCTCAACGACACGATCGCGTACCACTTTGCCGAGCCGCCGCGTGCCCACGCGTCCGTCACGCTCCGTCTGCAGTTCCGCGGCGTCCTGAACGACCAGTTGCGGGGCTTCTACCGCACCGAGTACGAGGCCAACGGCGAGCAGCGCGCGCTCGCAGTCACGCAGTTTCAAGCGTGTGACGCACGCCGCGCGTTCGTTGCTAGGACGAACCGGCTCTAAAAGCCACGTTTGAGATCTCCATGGTGACGGACACGGACGTCGTCGCCTTGTCGAACACGCACGTGGTCGAGACGGTCACGCGGCCACGGGCGCACGCGCATCTCCGGCACGAGACGCGCGCAAAGGACGAGGTGGACGGGACCCTGGAGAAAGTCTGGACGTTTGCCGAAACGCCCGTCATGTCGACGCACTAGGTCGCGATGGTTGTCGGTGAATTTAACGTGCTCTCGGACGTGACGAACGAAGGCGTGACGGTGATCGTCTACACGGCACCTGAACAGAGCGCACGTGGCTCGTTCGCGCTGGACGTCGCCGTCAAGTCCTTGTCGTTCTTTACCGAGAGCTTTAATATCCCGTAATTATTACAGAAACTTGATATGGTGGCAATCCCGGACTTTCTAGGAGCGATGGAGAACTGGGGACTCGTGACGTATACGGAAACATATTTGTAGGTGGACCCGAAGCTCAGCAGTCACGAGATCAAAGCTGATGCAACGCGTGCGATCTGTCATGAACTGTCGCACCAGCGGTTTGGCAATTAAGTGACAATGCCTTGGTGGACGGGGCTGTGGCTGAATGAAGGATTCACCCAGTTTATGGAGTTTGACGCGGCTGATCACTTTTTCCCGCAATGGAAGTTGCGGGAGACTTTTGTGCAAGATATCACGCTCCGATCGGCCTTTGTGAAGGATGCGATGGTGTCGTCACACCCGATTGAGGTGGTGGTGAATCATCCGGATGAAGCCGATGAGATCTTCGATGTAACGGGCTGAATCGTTACATAACAATTTATAAGAAATTGTTAAAAGAATATAACTATAAGAGTTATATTCTCAGAATATCGTCATAAGGACAAATATTCTGCAGCACTTACAAGTAGTTCCTAATTGGTTGATATAGGCCATTATATCAACCAACGAAGACGCGCCACGACAGACGCACGCAATGAGTGGTGAGCAGATAACTGATTTACACATTTGTATTTAGACATAGTTAGATAAAGATAAATAGTGATTTATTGCAGACATTAACTATTATAAATACAGTTCTACTTTTTACTCTAACCAAGTACTCGCTTCTTCTTACCGTCTTCCTCTGCACGTACGAGTGTACGTGAAGTTACGAGGCACCGCCTTATTCTGTCATCAGAATAAGTAGCTTGTACTGTCATCAGTACAAGCTTCAGGGTGCCCCGTTACACCTGGTAGCACTTCGTAGTCCGTCCAAGAACCACGTTCACATCCAACATGAATATGTTGGATGATGAAGATGACCAAAGCTTTCACGCTACGCGTGACGTCTACTCCCATTTGAGCGATGTCGAATGGGATGCGGTTGAACGAATGGGTTCAACCATGGGCATCCATGCTGTTAGCGTCATGCTAGAGGCTCTCAATAGAGATGCCCAACATGCTACTATCGCCAAGTTCATTCAAAATGAACTTGACGCTGAACGAGAGATTGTAGCCTTGCTTCACCAACAAGGTTCTCAACAAGCAGAGTTGTTGAGAGAACAGGGTGCTCAACAGTTTGAACTGTTGAGACAGCAGCAGGCTGCTGCTGGTGGGTCGATGCACTCGCGTCGACCCGAGACTTTGAAATTGACATCTCCAAGTATAGGGGAGTCGAAGAAGACTCCCTCTTGAGATGGTTCGTCGAATTTGATGACGCCATAAGGGCGCGTCGCATCGACGACGGGGATATGCAAGTTGCATTTGCCCAGTCAAATCTGGCAGGACGTGCCAAGACTTGGGCACTGGGGCTCAAGTTGCACGACCCATATGCGTTTGGGTCGTTGAAAGTCTTCAAGTCGCGGCTCAGACAAACGTTTGAACCGCCTAGAGCTGAGTTCAGGGCTCGAACTGAACTCTTGAAGCTCAAGCAAGGTAAGCGTGATGTGCACGATTACGTGCAACATATACGACATCTCACGAGTTGTATAAGTTCCAACCCGGTTGATGAACACACGTTGGTTTCGGTGTTCATGCAGGGTCTTGCGGATGGCCTTGTCAAGACTCACCTGTTCCGGCTTGAACTAGATTCACTAGAACAAGCCATTTCCATTGCGGAGCAGGAAGACTTCAGTCTGAGACAGGCTCGCGCCAGCTCGACATCATATCGTCAACCGAGACGATATGACAGCGGAGGTCCAGAGCCGATGGAACTCTGTTATGTAGAGAGCGAGAAGGCTCGCTCTACAGGCTACAAGAAGTTGCAGAGATGCAACAGATGTCAAAAGACAGGACACTACGCTTACGAGTGTAGTGCCCCTCGTCCAGTGTCTCGCGACACTGGGCGTAGTGACAGTCCACCCATGCGAAAGGGGCAGGGATGAGGTTCCGCAGTTGGTGCAAAGACGCAACAACGGGATGGACCGTCAAAAAACGGACAGGATCAGTAGGTGCGGAGCACCCTACTGGTCCAGCAACGTCAAGAGAATTTGTAGGCCTCTTGATGAAGGTTGCTCCCAACACACAAACGTTGTGCGTTGCTGCTCTAGGTAATGAGGTCTCACTCATTACCTTGAAACTCGAAGTGACGAACAAGTTGTCCCTTCGAGCTCTAGTCGATTGTGGGGCGTCCAACAATTTTGTGCGACGCCAATCGCTAGAAGATGGTCACTTTAAATTCAGTGAATGTGACACACCTCCTACGAGGATGACGGTGCGTCTTGCGACAGGCGCATCCGTAACCGTCATGAAGCGTATAGTGAAGATCCACTATACGCTAGAAGATACCCAATATGACGATGACTTTATCGGATTGGATTTGGATGACAAATTTGATGTCATCCTTGGAATACCGTGGCTCAGAAGGTACGAACCACGGGTAAACTGGCAACATCGAACAGTAACGATGCCTGCCGCTTGTTCATCAGATGGCCATCTGATGAACGTTTGGAGCGTCCACAAGCGTGTGGATGTACTACGAGTGAGTGCAATACCCTCACTTGTGGTACGGTCGTTAGCACGACTGCACAAAACCTTAGTGTACCAAACGGTTACACTTCGTAGCAAAGTTCCGGCGGCTGTGAGGAAACACAGGCTGCGCCGAAGGTCCACCACTCGAATAAGTCGAGTGGACCGGGACAAAGATGTATCCCTACCGGGAAACATCCAGAAGAGAAACAATCGATCGCTCAGGTTAAGCGAAACGATAATCCTAGATCGACTGGAGAGTCTTTCGTAGAGGATCTCGCTGTGGTTGCGAAACCACAGCTAGAGGAAGTTAAGGGAATAAGTCCCAAGATTACAAATACGGCGGAAATAAGTTCCCCGAAACCCGAGGGAATAAGTCCCCGAGAAGCCGAAGCAACAAGTCCTTCGGGGCCTGAGGGAATAAGTCCCCAGGAAATGACAGAGACATTGAATGTCATAGTCAATAACAGATCAAGCGTAGGCGCTTATACACTTGATCTGATTGCGCCTCCGAAGTTGACTTCGGAGACCACTCAGTTGCCAACGCTCGAACATAAAAGGTTCTTGCGTGATCTGCGTAGTGCCAAAGTCAAGCAGATCTGCATACTCGTCGCTGACGACGAGTGTGTAACCGACATAAGGTCAGCAACAGTGTTTACTGAGAACGAGAGAGTTCTCAGTAGTTCATCTATGGACGAGAGTGTCCTAGATGAAAAGACACGAATTGAGTGATATGACTCCCAATCATGGGAATCGCTCAAGAAAAATCCTCTCTATGAAGATTTGGTTAAATTCAAGGATGTATTCCCTGAAACTGTCCCGTGCGAATTACCGAAGGATAAATGTATTCGACACGAGGTCGAGCTTAAACCAGGCTCGAAGTACTGTGTCATGAAGCAGTGGCCACTGCCTCGTGAACAAGTACTTGCGATCGACAAGTTCTTTGCCGATCGTTTAGCTGCGGGCCATGTGAGGGAATCACATAGCTCTCCGACCTTCTGTGTGCGAAAAGCAACAGGAGGGTGGCGGATAGTGCATGCATTTAACAAGTTGAATGCTGCAACGGTACCGGCTCAGACGCCGATACCAAGGAAGGACGTAATCATTGATGGTACGTCAAAGAGTACCATCTTTTCGTCCCTGGATTTGATGGATGGCTTCTATCAAATCCTTATGCGAGAACGGGATATACCCTATACCGCAGTTAGCACGCCTAGCGGCATGCTCTGGGAATGGCTAGTAATCCCACAAGGGCTTAGTAATGCCCCTGCCACGTTCAACAGATGTGTATCACATCTGTTGAGACCAGTGCGAGAATTCGCGCCGAGTTTTTTCGATGACGTATTCATCCATAGTCGGGCAAAGTCGGACGTTGAGGTTCACAGATACCACGTCCGACAGGTTCTTACAATCATGCGAAAGCATCAATTGTATGCAAACCTCAAGAAGTGTATATTTGCAGCAAGCAAAATACCACTTCTTGGGTGCATCGTTGGTAAGAACGGAGTACGTCCTGACCACGAAAATATCAAGGCGATCACCGACTGGCCGGTGCCGGTTGATGTCAAAGGTCTTCGAAAACTCCTTGGCTAGCGGCGTATTTGCATAAGTATTCGCGCAATCAAGCCGAGATGACTGTACACCTCTCTCGTTTGTTGAAAAAGAACGAGAGGTGGGTATGGAACGCTGAATGTCAGCGCTCCTTTGATGGTATCAAGCAGAGCTTGATACAATCCCCAGTCCTAGCAATTGCCGATCAGGACAGGCCATTTCATGTGGTCTGTGATACCAGCTATTTCGCAATCGGCTGTGCATTAATGCAGTACGATCTTGAAGGCGATAAACGCGTTGTCTGCTATCAGTCGCGTCAGCTGCAACCAGCTGAGCGGAACTATCCAGTGCATGACTAGGAACGCCTTGCCATGAAGTATGCACTCGCGAAGTTCAGAGTCTATCTATTAGGAGATAGAACCTTCGTTGTTTACACTGACCATGCGTCATTACGCACGGCAGTGAACAGTCCGCACCTTTCACAACGAATGGCGCGGTGGTTGTCATTCTTTGCAGAATACAACTTTACGGTCGAGTACAAACCAGGACGACTTAATGTCGTCGCTGATGCACTCTCACGTCGTCCTGACTTTGAACCAGTCGTGAAACCCAACAGTGAGACAGTCCCTGTTGCGGTTATGACGTCCTCAGTCCCATCTACAACGTTGTACGATGATGTGAGGCGGGCATACGCCCAAGATGGTGAGATAGTGAAGTTGTTGACACATCTCTCCCAACCATCTCGAGAATCGTTGAAACGATTGTCGTCTGCGTATCGATCTGCATCAGATCGATACAGTACTCGCAACGGTTTACTGTATTATACAGCCGTTTCTGGTGACACACCACGTGTTGTCATTCCAGATGATACTGATCTGCGTTTGCGGATCATGTTCGAGTATCACGATGATCCTACAGGAGGACATCGTGGCCGGAAGAAAACATATCTCACGGTAAGTCGAGACTTTTACTGGTCCCGCCAGTATCAGTTTGTGCGAAAGTATGTTCGCGCATGCGAATTCTGTCAACGAGTGAAGTCAAGTCCTTCACTGCGTGCACCTTTACAGCCTCTACCGGTTCCGGCTGAGTGTTGGGAATCCATCTCAATGGATTTCGTCTTCGGGTTACCCAAAGACGCACGCGGGAATACGGGTATTCTCGTATTTGTTGACAAATTCAGCAAAATGGTACACCTAGTGGCTGTACCCGAGACAATCACGGCAAGTGGCTGTGCTTGTGTCTTTATTGACACCATCTTCCGACTTCATGGTTTGCCCCGTGAACTCGTATCAGACAGAGACCCA